GCCTGGTGGCTAAAGCTCCCGCTTCACACACGGAGGGCCCGGGTTCGATTCCCGGCGGGTGGAAATTCCGACACGTTTCCTTACACATATGTCCTGTTACTAGCAGTAAAGGTACCTGGGTGTTGGGTCGACGGGTGTGGTCGCATCCTGGGGACAAGATTGGACCCAAATGGAAAAAGTTAGACAGTCCTCGATGACGCACTGTCTTTCTTGGGTTATCCTGGGTGGCTAACCCTCCGGGGTTAAAAATCCGAACGAAATCTTATCTTATCTTATCTTATAAATGACACAAAATCTAAGGACGTATTTCGCCGATAATTTCCCTGCAATTTTCTTATTTTTCTTGATAGTTGAAACAAGTCTATCAAGATTAAAGTCTGACAGATGTGGTGAATGGTTTTGAAAAACCGACAAGTTGAAGAATTGAGACACTTGTGCAACACATGGGAATCTTTATTGAAGAAACGTTTCGCCACACAGTGGCTTCATCAGTCCAATAAAAGTAGAAATGGGTAAGGAGAGGAGGAGTTCGAGGTAATCAGTCCCTCAACCTGGAATCGATGTGTTCAGATTAAAGTCTATCGAATGAACGAGGGTTATTAAGGCTGCGAATAGTCTGTACATTAACTTCAAGACTACTTTAATACCCTTTAATACCCTTTAATACCCTTTAATATCATTTAATACTCTTTAATGCTCTTTAATACTCTTTAATACTTTTTAATACCTTTTAATACTTTTTAATAATCTTTAATACCCTTTAATACTTTTTAATATTCTTAATACTCTTTAATATACTTTAATACCTTTTAATACCCTTTAATACCTTTTAATACTCTTTAATACCCTTTAATACCCCTTACTATACTTTTAATACCCTTTAATATTCTTTAACACTCTTTAATGCTCTTTAATACTCTTTAATACTTTTTAATACCCTTTAATACTTTTTAATAATCTTTAATACCCTTTAATACTTTTTAATATTCTTAATACTCTTTAATATACTTTAATACCTTTTAATACCCTTTAATACCTTTTAATACTTTTTAATACCCTTTAATACCCCTTACTATACTTTTAATACCCTTTAATATCCTTTAGGTAAATGTTAATTGCGTATTCACTGATATATTCCTCTCTGTATATGTAGGCGCTGCATTATGTCACTTCTGACTGAAGAAGGCTTCCTGTGCAGGCGAGAAGTGTCGTTAATAAGGGTACCTAGTTGTTGTAGTCATGTCTAAATCATCACACTCCTTCCTAAGATACCCTAGTGTTGTAGTCACGTCTAAATCACCACACTCCTTCCTAAGATATCCTAGTGTTGTAGTCATGTCTAAATCATCACACTCCTTCCGAAGATACCCTAGTGTTGTAGTCAGTCAAAAATCATCACACTCCTTCCAAAGGGATATCCTATTGTTGTAGTCATGTCTAAATCATCACACTCCTTCCTAAGATACCCTAGTGTTGTAGTCATGTCTAAATCATCACACTCCTTCCTAAGATACCCTAGTGTTGTAGTCATGTCTAAATCATCACTCTCCTTCCTAAGACACCCAAATGTTACAGTCATGTCTAAATCATCACACTCCTTCCTAAGATACCCTAGTGTTGTAGTCATGTCTAAATCATCACACTCCTTCCTAAGATATCCTAGTGTTGTAGACATGTCTAAATCATCACACTCCTTCCTAAGATACCCCAGTGTTGTAGTCATGTCTAAATCATCACACTCCTTCCTAAGATACCCCAGTGTTGTAGTCATGTCTAAATCATCACACTCCTTCCTAAGATATCCTAGTGTTGTAGACATGTCTAAATCATCACACTCCTTCCTAAGATACCCCAGTGTTGTAGTCATGTCAAAAATCATAAACACCCCTTTCCTAAGATACCCCAGTGTTGTAGTAATGTCTAAATCATCACACCCTTCCTAAGAATCCTAGTGTTTGTAGTCATGTCTAAATCATCACACTCCTTCCTAAGATACCCTAGTGTTGTAGACATGTCTAAATCATCACACTCCTTCCTAAGATACCCTAGTGTTGTAGTCATGTCTAAATCATCACACTCCTTCCTAAGATACCCCAGTGTTGTAGTCATGTCTAAATCATCACACTCCTTCCTAAGATACCCTGGAAAAACCATACCCCCGGCCGGGATTGAACCCGCGGTCATAGAGTCTCAAAACTCCAGCCCGTCGCGTTAGCCACTAGACCAGCTAGCCACAATAAGATTCATCCAACTAGGTATATTTCTACACCATAGGAAGGTTAGCACAGGCACCACTGTGACCACAAATGCAAGTTTTTACAGACGAATCTCCAGCTAGCGTGGCCGTGACGAACTCTAGCTCAAGTCCCTTCACTGCCGTCAACATGACTCAAGAAATCGTAATGACACGATTGCAAATAAACCATACCCCCGGCCGGGATTGAACCCGCGGTCATAGAGTCTCAAAACTCCAGCCCGTCGCGTTAGCCACTAGACCAGCTAGCCACAATAAGATTCATCCAGTGAAGGGACTTGAGCTAGAGTTCGTCACGGCCACGCTAGCTGGAGATTCGTCTGTAAAAACTTGCATTTGTGGTCACAGAGGTGCCTGTGCTAACTTTCCTATGGTGTAGAAATATACCTAGTTGGATGAATCTTATTGTGGCTAGCTGGTCTAGTGGCTAACGCGACGGGCTGGAGTTTTGAGACTCTATGACCGCGGGTTCAATCCCGGCCGGGGGTATGGTTTATTTGCAATCGTGTCATTACGATTTCTTGAGTTAAGATACCCTAGTGTTGTAGTCATGTCTAAATCATCACTCTCCTTCCTAAGACACCCAAATGTTACAGTCATGTCTAAATCATCACACTCCTTCCTACGATACCCTAGTGTTGTAGTCATGTCTAAATCATCACTCTCCTTCCTAAGACACCCAAATGTTACAGTCATGTCTAAATCATCACACTCCTTCCTAAGATACCCTAGTGTTGTAGTCATGTCTAAATCATCACACTCCTTCCTAAGATACCCTAGTGTTGTAGTCATGTCTAAATCATCACACTCCTTCCTAAGATACCCTAGTGCTGTAGTCATGTCTAAATCATCACACTCCTTCCTAAGATACCCCAGTGTTGTAGTCATGTCTAAATCATCACACTCCTTCCTAAGATACCCCAGTGTTGTAGTCATGTCTAAATCATCACACTCCTTCCTAAGATACCCCAGTGTTGTAGTCATGTCTAAATCATCACACTCCTTCCTAAGATACCCCAGTGTTGTAGTAATGTCTAAATCATCACACTCCTTCCTAAGATATCCTAGTGTTGTAGACATGTCTAAATCATCACACTCCTTCCTAAGATACCCCAGTGTTGTAGTCATGTCTAAATCATCACACTCCTTCCTAAGATATCCTAGTGTTGTAGACATGTCTAAATCATCACACTCCTTCCTAAGAATACCCCAGTGTTTTTAGTCATGCTAAATCATCACACTCCTTCCTAAGATACCCCAGTGTTGTAGTAATGTCTAAATCATCACACTCCTTCCTAAGATATCCTAGTGTTGTAGTCATGTCTCAATCATCACACTCCTTCCTAAGATATCCTAGTGTTGTAGACATGTCTAAATCATCACACTCCTTCCTAAGATATCCTAGTGTTGTAGTCATGTCTAAATCATCACACTCCTTCCTAAGATACCCTAGTGTTGTAGTCATGTCTTAATCATCACACTCCTTCCTAAGAATACCCCAGGGGTTGTAGTCCATGTCTAAATCATCCCCACTCCTTCCTAAGATACCCTAGTGTTGTAGTCAAGTCCCAAATCATCACTCCCCCTTCCTAAGACCCCAAAGTTACAGTCATGTCTAAATCATCACACTCCTTCCCAAGATTACCCTAGTGTTGTAGCATGTCTAAATCATCACACTCCTTCCTAAGATACCCTAGTGTTGTAGTCATGTCTAAATCATCACACTCCTTCCTAAGATATCCTAGTGTTGTAGACATGTCTAAATCATCACACTCCTTCCTAAGATACCCCAGTGTTGTAGTCATGTCTCAATCATCACACTCCTTCCTAAGATACCCCAGTGTTGTAGTCATGTCTAAATCATCACACTCCTTCCTAAGATATCCTAGTGTTGTAGACATGTCTAAATCATCACACTCCTTCCTAAGATATCCTAGTGTTGTAGACATGTCTAAATCATCACACTCCTTCCTAAGATACCCCAGTGTTGTAGTCATGTCTAAATCATCACACTCCTTCCTAAGATACCCCAGTGTTGTAGTAATGTCTCAATCATCACACTCCTTCCTAAGATACCCCAGTGTTGTAATCATGTCTAAATCACCACACTCCTTCCTAAGATGCCCAAGTGTTGTAGTCATGTCTAAATCATCACACTCCTTCCTAAGATACCCCAATGTTGTAGTCATGTCTCAATAATCACACTCCTTCCTAAGATACCCCAGTGTTGTAGTCATGTCTCAATCATCACACTCCTTCCTAAGATACCCCAGTGTTGTAATCATGTCTAAATCATCACACTCCTTCCTAAGATACCCCAGTGTTGTAATCATGTCTAAATCACCACACTCCTTCCTAAGATGCCCAAGTGTTGTAGTCATGTCTAAATCATCACACTCCTTCCTAAGATACCCCAATGTTGTAGTCATGTCTCAATAATCACACTCCTTCCTAAGATACCCCCCGTGTTGTAGTCATGTCTCAATCATCACACTCCTTCCTAAGATACCCCAGTGTTGTAGTCATGTCTCAATCATCACACTCCTTCCTAAGATACCCCAGTGTTGTAATCATGTCTAAATCATCACACTCCTTCCTAAGATACCCCAGTGTTGTAATCATGTCTAAATCACCACACTCCTTCCTAAGATACACTAGTGTTGCTGTCATGTCTTAATCACACTCTCTCCTAAACACCCAAGTGCAACACACATGTCATATTGAATAACATTCGATCATCTTGCAGACGGAGGCGTCCACGGGCGAGAGGATCCTCCTGACGAACCTCCAGCTCAACTCCTCCGGCAGGTACAAGTGCGAGGTGATAGCAGAGTGGCCGCAGTTCCTGACGGCTGACAAGAGTGCTAACATGACCGTCGTTGGTAAGATATCTCTGTGTTTACCTGTGTTCATTAGGTAAGGTACGTCAGGAAACACGACAAGCGTTTCCTGATATGGGTCTTAGATGATGACCCACATCTGGAGCTTTTGGTCCTCTGACCGAGGCCTTCCGCTGGCTTACAGCTTGAAATTTTCTGACACGTTTTGAGATTTTAAAATTGATAATGAACAAAATGTCACAATACAGAGACTGGAACAATACACAAATAACCCGCATATAAGAGAAACGTTTTTGGCAACGTTTCGGTCCGACCATTAACTAGACAAGTATCTTCACCAGGTGCCAGATCAACCAGGCTGTGATGGATATGTGGTGCAGTGGGCCTCCAGCAGCAACAGCCTGGTTGACCAGGCAAGCACCAGACGAGCCTGGCCCATGGCCGGGCTCAGAGAGTAGATAAACTCTCGAAACTCTTAAAAGGTATATATAAAAGGTAAAGGTAGTCACTAGTTAATGATCCAAGTCGGACCGAAACGTCGTCATAAAGTTTCTATCTCCGGTGTGCTGGTTATTTGTTTATAATTTGTGTTATATTGTGTATAAATAAATTATCTTTTTTTTAATAAAACTCCTTTTTTGAATTGCATTAAAACCCCGATAAGGCACTTGACACATCTCCTGTATGGGCGAAACGTCGTTATTATAGTATTCTATACGGTTGTTGTGTCTTATTGGCCATGAGTTGTACAAATTTTCGACTATGTTTCTGGCCAGACTTTTAATCTTCTTATGACCTTATTTATCTGAGGTTTATTCTCCCTGTCGTGGTTCTCTGTTCTCATATACTTCTTTCCTCTTCTGATGCTGAAGAAACACTTCCTAACGTCTCTATGTTTACTCTACTATCTTTCTTGGTGCTTATCATATCTTAATCTCAAGAAAATAATTTAAAAATTTCTCAGCACCAGAGTCAGTGGATTTCCCATAGCCATACCAAACTTCTGAAAATAAAAATATTTCTTAAAAATCGAATTTGCAGTCGACTGTGCAGTGATACTTTTCCTTAATTTTTGATACTGGGATAGTTTTCTGTATCCTCAACTATTTCCACTGATTAATATTTGATTGAACTGAATTCCAGCAGTTATTTTTCTGACTTTCTTATGAGTATTTGCAAAATGCTGTTTGACCAATTCTATTTCTTACCCATTAAGTTCATAACTGAATTTTTTACTCTTGTAAATAGTTGTTAGGTAAAAGGGCACATTTACAACTAATGTGACAGCTTTTTGTGGCAATGTTTCGCTCTCCAGGAGCTCTGTCGAGCAGATGTTTTTCTGTTATAACCTGCTTAAGTAAGAGAATGTTGGGGTCTAGTCCCTGGATCCATTATGTGCCTCTGTTATTGTTTGAATCCTGCTCATAGGATGGGTATCGGGTGACTACCACCCACTGCATGGGTCTAGGAAAATTTCTTCTGAGACTCGTCTGAAGTCATTAGACGGTCCACTCATTGGCGACCCCTCGCCTGACTTGCATTAAAAGGTTATAAATTAAATGTCGCTTGCAAGGGCAAAACGAAATTGCGGAGCATTCTTTTATTAGGCTTAGTGTAAAGGTTTATCAAATCATGCATAGGTTCCATCGGTGCTCCTGGAAAGTAATGACGGTGAAAGTAGGTGAGGTTTCTCGTGGAAGGTTGTCACCTAGGCTGGAATAAAGAGATTGTGAAAATCTCTGACTGATATTTTGGCAGTCTTTCTTGGCAGTCTTTCTGAGCCAAAACCCAATAAATATCACCTTATATTTCATATTAATCGTTACCCATGAGGTCTGATGTAAAAATCCGAAGAAATCCGAAGCAGTGTTGAGTAGCAAACTGTGTTTCCTCGGCAGATGTGCCTGAGGAGAAGCCCAGGATCACCGGCACTCAACACAAGTACCACATCGGTGACACCGCCCATCTCATCTGCTCCTCTGCGAAGTCGTTCCCGGCAGCCGACCTCACCTGGTACATCAACGAGAAGGAGGTGAGAGTGTGTGTGTATTTAAGTGTGGAAATAAGTCATTTTGTCCAGCCTTTTTGTTGTTGTTGTTTATCCTAGGTAATTTACACTATATCTCAAACAATGCAAACAACCCACGGTAAGGATGGGGTTAGAACCTATGGCGAGTGCGCTGGTCTGGAGTTTTACGGCTCACTTTCCATGGGTTCTAACTACATCTGTTCAGTTGTTAATTCACACTAAATATGATAATTGTACTTAAGTGTACCTGTGCCTAAATAAACTTATTTACTAGAGAGAGGAAGAGAGAGAAAGAAAGAAAGAGAGAGAGAGAGAGAGAGAAGAGAGAGAGAGAGAGAGAGAGACTTCACAGCTGATTAGAACATGTTAATGCACCTATTTTGAACTCGTAATATAATATCTGGAAGCTTTAAACGTTCCAGACAGCTCCCTCTTTACAAACTATATATATGAATATTACCATCGTAAGTGTTGCATCCAAGCAACACCGCTGTCTCATTATCTCATACAATAATTAACATGTTACTAAGAAATCTAACCTATTAGTTCCCTTCCATAAACCTATGGCCTGTACCTGCCATTAATTTTTTAATGCCTTTTCTTTTGGACGAAGGTCAAAGGCACATCAAGAGAGTCAGCCTTTTATGTAACGACGAAATGTAATTACAAAAAGGCTTACCTTTTTTAGTGTGGTTTTTTTAAATGGCCATGTATCAGATGCATTTTGTGTTTTTGTGTTTTTTTTAATGAATAAGTGTTTCTAAAATGAAAATGCAAAAAAAAGATGTTGATTTCAGACAGTCCCGTTGGTGGGGTAGCCCAGACGGCAGATCGTTGGACTGTCAATTTACGAACCGCAGTTCGAGCCCTTAGTCCACCTTTCTCTTTATTCATTGACAGCTGTTTATCAAAGAGCTGCCAAGTCTGGGCCAGTAGGCCTACTCTAGTGTTCCTCCTTTCTTATGTTGTTATTAAGTTTAGTAACAGGGTCATCAAGGTCGACCACACGAGGGTCATTAAGACCGTATATAACATTCAGAATACAAGTAAAAATACTTATGCACTGAGAGATACGTAGCTCTCGACTTATAAACAATGGGATATACCTCTGGTTGTACAGTGAGCGACATACACCTCTCGTTATGTATACACTGAGATACACACCTCTCAGTGTATATGATCGGAGAGATAAACATCTCTGTTTCTTCTCTTAATGCTGTTCTTACTGCTGGTGCTGCTATTCCTGCTGCTGCTATTCCTGCTGCTGCTGCTACTGTTGTTCTTCTGTTGCGCTTCTGTGGCTGCTGCTGTTCCTACTGCTGTTGTGTGTTGCTTTTATTTCTCCTACTGGTGCTGTTGTTGCTGCTGCTGCTGTTTACTGTTGTTTCTGCTTCTTTCGCAAGTGGTGCTGTTGCTGTTCCTGCTGCTGTTGATCTTTTTTCCCCTACTGGTGCTGTTGTCACTGCTGCCTCTGATATTCTATAAGACCTGTTCCGTAATCCATCGCCAATAAATCATAGTACCTAATTGACATTTCATAAATCACTCTCCATATTTCATGATCCGTGTCACAGGTCACATTGCAAAAGCCATCCTCGCAAATTTATCTCAGAAGATCTTTCCTAGGGAAAGAGGCTGTTTAGGGTGTTCTTCAAGGCAAGGTTCGCTGGGTTTGAAGCTCATCTGCTACTCGAGGGTCATTAAGGCTGCACGTCACCTGTACACCACTAGTCAAGGTTGTTGCAATCTTTAAAATGAGGTTTACGATCAACTCTCCAGTGTGTATATGGAAATATACATCTTGACCTCAGTCAGTGTATCAGCTGTCTCTTAGCCTCGACTACAGTCCTAAATATGACTGCTCCATTGACTGACCTGCCTCCCAATATGCTGACTCTTGCAGTAGCTGACGCGTGCTGAGGCTCAATGAGACTTTCTCCTGACATTGGAGTTTTGTCAGTCAGGAAACATTACAAATACCTTCTGGCTAAGTTTCCGCTGACCTATCTTTACACACACACACACACACACACAACACACACACACACACACACACACACACACACACAACACACACACACACCACACACACACACACATACACACTCAAGTATGCTTCAGCCATAGAGTTGTTAGGGAGTGGATCAATCTGATAAGTGATGTGGTGGAGGCAGGATCCATACATGGACAAAGATAAAACTCATTGAGCAGGGAGACAGTGGACCTAGTAGCGACCAGCGATGGGGCTGGGCCAAGAGCTGTGACTCGACTCCTGCAACCAAGAATAGGTGAGTACACAGTCTGTCGACAATCGCCTTTGACAACTGACATCTACTACACACGCGCACACGCACACACACACACACACACACACACACACACACACACACACACACACACACACACACACACACACACACACACACACACACACACACACACACACACACACACGTATACAGGCGCGTACAGATAGATAGATAGATAGATGGATAGAAAGTGAGAGAGAGAGAGAGACAGAGAGAGAGAGACAGAGATAACTATCCCATCACATTACCTTACGGTGGCCACAAGAGGACAACCAACATGGCTTTACCTCACAATTGATGGTGATTGTGAACCATTCAGCCTGACAGCACACCTGAGCAGCTCTAACACCTACAATAACACTCCAATATGGGACCTCCATCACAGGTTCCAAGACGACACGCGTAAGGGGGTCACCTACGCGAAGGTCAAGACCCAGCCGCTTCCGGTAACGATGTTATGCAAATTGTGTGTAGGGATTAGTAGCTCAGGCGATCGTGTTAGCGAATTGTCAGGGAAAGGAAGATGGGAGGTGAGGGATGATGGGAGAGGATGGAATGTTGGATGGAGAGGGATGATTGGAGAGCTGGGAGGTTGTCAGCGTTCTTCAGCAGTGCCGAAGACAGCTTCGAGGGCAGTTCGTACACCGTCTTTATTGGGGCCCAGCTCAGAACACAGCTTATGGGACACAGCTCCTGGGACACAGCTCCTGGGACACAGC